ATATTATAGCCAGAGGCTATAAGGCTCCAACACAGATACAGTAATACAGATAATTTTTGTTGAAACTTATCTCCATCCGGGCTTCTTCCTTTAGACATGCTTTCCTCAGGTTTCTGCCTTTCCATAGCTTATAAACTACCTAGAGGCAGGCCTGTAATGTGAACTGAAAACACGGCTCTGGCTTATTTAAGTATCATTTTATAAAACTCTCTAATTTCATTGCAGAAAAGCCAAAGATGGTAATGACTACCAATAAACTATCTTGTTGGCATATTCTTTTTTTTAATGTTTATTTATTTTTGAGAGAGAGAGACAGAGAGAGAGAGAGACAGAGTATGAGCAGGGGAAGGGCAGAGAGAGGGAGACACAGAATCAGAAGCACGCTCCAGGCTCTGAGCTGTCAGCACAGAGCCCAACATGGGGCTCGAACTCACAAGCTCTGAGATCATGACCTGAACTGGAGTGGGACGCTCAACTGACTGAGCCACTTTGAGCTTCCAAAAGCTTAGTGGAAAATGGGGAGTAAAACCAGAACCACCATTATTGAACAATTAATTCTTACCTGGAATTCTTACTTTATTCCCTGAGTATCAGTGCATATTTGGTCTCATCTCCTGTAAGATTCACAGTGTAAATAAAACTGTCTCCTCATATGAAGAACAGTGTACCCTCGGAGTGCCTGAGTGGTTCAGTTGGTTGAGCGTGCGACTCTTGGTTTTAGCTCAGGCCATGATCTCATGGTTTGTGAGACTGAGCCCTGGGTCGGGCTCTGTGCTGAACAGTGCGAAGCCTGCTTGTGATTCTCTCTCTCCCTGTCTCTCTGGCCCTCCCCTGCTCATGCTCTCTCTCTCTCTCTCTCGCTCTCAAAATAAATAAATCAACCTAAAAAAAAAAAGAATGGTGTACCCACGGATTTTCAGTGCTTTGATCCCTAAGGAAATATTCATTGTTATGTAGCACAGTCTACATTGTTGTAACAAAGAGAACCCTCACTCCATAACTCAGTAAGACAGAAGTTTGTGCAATAATCCGGGGTGAGCAGTCCAGGGCTAGCAGGGAGGCTCCCCCATCCTCAGCTGGTACCTTCCATACCTGCCATCTCTTGGTCCAGGTTGGCTTTTCCATTTGTTGATATTTCCAGGGAGAGAGAGAAGGCAAATGTGGTCCCTGGGAGCTTATATGCCGTCACTTCTAGCAGCATCCTGTTGGCTGGGACTTACTCATACGACCACATCTTGCTGCAAGGGAGGCTGCACCGTATCGTCTCTAGCTGAGTTGCCATTTGCACCCAGGCTTGAGGAAGGGGGTTTCCCATAACTGGGAAGAGGAGAGGCTTCATTCTAAGGGACAGTGACCAGCCTCCGATACTCACTAAACCCTGTTTAGGCAGGAGTGGGTTCACTCTATGAGCAGAGTTGACTTTGTTACATAAATCTATGAAAAATTTGAATGACTAAGATTTCCTTTTCTAAAAGTTAAAGTACTTTAGGATTATCTGGATTCCAGGAGAGAGAGAAATTTAAAAGTAGATTTAACAGCATGCATCTTATGGAGGAACTTTCAAAGGTTTGTTTAGGCATATACAGCTCCACATCTGTGATCTTTGAATGAACCTTGACTGTCATCTGCACAGTTTTTAGTGGATTTTATGGATTCAAGAACATTAAAGCCAAAAAGTTTATCAGATTAAATGGTTGTTTTCTCCAAATAGAGAGGTGATCCTTTAGAATTCCTATGTCAATTATTATAAGAAGACTATTTGCACTTTTAAAATTAAAGTACATAAGAAATCAATTAAAATTTGAGTAGATCTTAAATATTTATGAAGTTGTAATCATGACGGTTGTTATATAGCCATTATATCTCAATTGGTTTTTTCGTGAAATACACACATAACAAACGCAAGGGGAAAAATTAAACCCCATTCATTATCGCTTTGCCTTTGTATATGAGTATGTATGTATCCCAAGAAAATTTCTTGTAAACCCACAAGGAAACTTGGGGTTTGGGGGCACTGGTGTTCCCAAATCAAGATGTTAGTCATGTAGTGGTTTTCCAATGGGATTTCATCTACACCATAACAGTTTTGGGAACTGCAATTCCATCGACCCCAATCATATCTAGCATTTATGAAAGCTGTTGTTATGGGAAAGCTGAAGTAAGACCCACAGAATTTTCCTACAAAACCAAGGCCATCTACTGCCTTGTAGCCAGCAATAGGCTATTGGCTATGGTGTGCTCAATCTCAGGGAGACCCAGGGCAAAAGGTAGAAGAGTTTGCAAGAGGAAAAAACAGTGACTGGCACCAGCAGAGGTGGGCCTATCTTTGTGCTAGAAGTACCCTAGGATGGAAGAAAAGATATTTGGACTTGGTAAGGAAAGACATGCCTGGAAGACAGCATCTCATTTTGTGGCTTGGGATCTTGAGCTACAGTTTTAGAAATGAATAAAAACTGAGGGTCCTTGGCTGGAAGGGGAAGTGGCAAAGGGTAGATTGGGTTGCTCCCCCAAAGTGGCTCATCCTGGGGGAAATATAACCTGTGGAAGTGGAGAGAATGTTGTTCCCTAGAACAGTCTCCCAAACCTGCCTGATCTTAAGAATCACTTGGGGACCTCGTTTAAAAAAATAAATGAGAAGCCTTGGTAGTTCGGGAGTAGACTTTGTGATTTCAGAAATCCCCCCTGAAAAGGGCTGGCCTGTCTTTAAAAGAAGGCTTCAGGGCGGGAATGGAGATAGCACCTGGGACCAGGATAGCATCCTAAGAAGAGGTGAGAGCCACTGGGGTACAGGGAAGCCTTTGGTGAATTTAAGTGACTATATTTGAGAAGTAGGAGCAAGTCTGTGTGGTGGAAAAGGTGGGTTTTGAAAGTTGCAGAGAGCAGTCTGTAGCCAAAATGATGACACAGGTTTGCTTGAACTTTTTGAGATTTCGGGTCTGAGAGAGTTTTGTTTGCACCTAGCTTCCTCATCACTAGGGTACTTCCCTCGCCCCTAATCTTTACCTTTTGAGAACCTTGGGTGGTGATGGTGGTGGTGGTGATAGGAGTAAAAATGATAATAACTCTAAAGCAGGAGGCTCATATTCATCAGAAAGTTTTGGAGGACTCTGGAACTCTTCCTCTCAGTGTCTGTACCTGCTTCTTATCTCATCGAACCCTTTCACGGTGAAGGACCAGGCCATCATCTCCATCACCCCAACCACAAGCCAGAAGATGGTCTTACACTCTCCATTACCAACTCTTCGTCTCGCCCCCGTCCTGTGGGTTCTGCCTCCTTACAAAACCTTCAGTGACTTCTCTCCACCCAGTCACTGTTGTTGTCACCTTAACCCCTGTGTTGCTGTCATTGTTTCTTGCCTGGGTCACTGCAAGTGGCCATCCCATCCTGTAGTCCTACAGGACCCCTGAAACCAACAGGATAAAGTCTAAGCTGCTGGACACATAATACAAACTCTTTTATGTTCTGGAAACCTCATTCTCACCCCTGCCTCTCCAGCCTCATTATCTTGTATGCCGTCCCATCACTCTGTGCTCAGCCTGTGCTCAGAGGCCCCGCCACAGTAAAATGCTAGAAGCTCCCTAACCTAGCTGTGCCCTTCCCCACTCTACTTCCCTGCTGTGATCCAAGGCAAGTGAGGGCACAGATGGTATCTCTCCCAGAAACACAGCATCCTCAGCACCGCACGGGATGCCTGGCCCCTAGCGGCCATCAATAAACTTTGTGGAACGGATGGATGGATGAATGAAAGATGGGTGTTTGCGCCTAGTCTTTCACATGCTATTCCAGGCCTTTCTTGTGTAGTTAGTTCTCTGATTGTCTTTCAAATTTCAGCACAGTCCTTACTTGCTAAAGCAGGCCCCTACTGATGCCCGCCTGCCCACCTTTGGGTTAGGAGCTTCTCCTGTGCTCGCCCAGGGCCTCGTTATTCACCCCTGTCATTCAGTACATCCATTGCAGGAGCATGGCGTGAACTTTCCAAGGATGGGGCTGTGTGATGTTTAGTTTCCCTCCCCAGTGACAGGCACACAGTAGGTGCCCAGTGGAAGGAAGAACCAGTGTAATGAACAAGTGAGCGAGCTCTGCTCATCCCTGCTCTTAGTGTCATCACATGGCTAGTTGTTTGATATTGCCAGAAGCTGGCCACATTACGCATGCTCAGGAAGACTCGCAAAGGGCCGGGAGTCACTCCTGAGCCTGATGTTTATCCTGCATCTTGCAGAGAGGAGTTTCGACCTTTGGGGCGTGAACACGTTAAAGGACCTTGAGGCTGGAGGACCTTGACTGGCCACCCCGCCCCTTCCTCCCTGGCCTTATTTGTCCACAGTGGCTGGCCTGGGACCTCTGTGCCCCTCGGAGTCACATTCCTAGCCGTCCGATACTTTGGGGAGGGTCTGTGTGGGTTCGCCTTCTTCCGAGGACACGAGGCTCAGTGAATGTCAAAGCTCTGCCAGTGTTAAGGTGGCATTATTGTTTCAAGTGGCAGAGGAAAGCGGAGACATAGTAAATAGCAGGGTTGGCCCAAGACGCTACACAGCAGTTCCTCTGCCAGGCCCTTCGATTAAACTTTGTAAACGAGTACCATAGTGCAAGACATTTTGAAATTGGGCTCTTTATGAAGACTAATATTGCTGTCATAAGGCAACTTTATGAAAACCCTAGGGGACCTTTAACTGTAGCAGAAGCTTCCTCATTTAAGCCATGAAGGTTAAACAATAAAAACTAATTTTCTATTCCCAGCATAGCCAGTGCGCTGCCAGGAAAGCATCACTCTCTTTTAGGAAAACAAGGGCACGCTCTTCGCCAGCCCTTTGGTGGGGAGAGAGCATTATCTGTGTGCAAAGATGTGTCTTTTCCAATCAGCAGATTTCTTTCGGGAGAAGCAAGCCCCCGCTGACTGTCCTCGGTGGGAGGAGGAGACCAGCCCACATCTTGGTAAAGTTCTTCGCTGAGGATTTCCAGAGGTGGTCACGGGGACGGCGGTGGCTGATTTAGTTAGGAGGCAAACAAATGAGGCGGTTAAGAGGTGGGGTGCCGGGGCTGTGGGCTGTGGATAGAATCCGTGTTGAGTAAACTTTGGCCCTGGGTGAATTTTGTAAATCAGTAGTTTATATTAAGAAATAAGTAATCTGGGGGATCAAAATGTAGAATTACAAATACATCAGAGAAGGCCTTTCCTTTCAGGATTGGTGACCCCAACGCCCCGTGTACCTGCCCCCCTCACCGGTCCTCCTCCCCCTGTCCCCAGTGGGGATGGTCAAGAGCTGCCCTTCCCCCTCCCCCGTGCTCCTCTCCCATTGTCCTGGGACCTGAAGGGTGAGGAACGCGGGCTGTGCCGTACCTTTCATAACGTGTATTTAGGCAACACTCAAGGGATCCTGCTCTTAAAGCTCTTTGCTTCGAGGCTATCTTTGGACTGTTGTTACCACTGACAGCTCAAAGGAACTAAGGGGCCCCCCGCTCCATCCAGGTGCATATAACGTGTTCCCCCATATCCTGTGGATTAGAAGTTCGGTGTGAGCTTTGGGGGGGGCGGGGAAGCAAGAGGCTGAGACACCCGTACTAATTCTGTCTCTTTAGCTGGTGCACAACAGCTGGGTATTCTTTCTGTACCTTGTAAACCAAGAATACATGGACGATAAAACCCTTACAGATAAAGAGCTATTGATAAGACCGTGAGCCGTGTCTCTCTGGGAGAGCCCTTGGAGACAAGGTCTGTATGGAAGGGAGGGCAGGATGCTCGCGGTGGAGACGGATTGGAAGTAGTTCTGCATGGCTGGCACCGGTGGTGTCCCGAGTGGCCTCAGAGGTGGGGTCTGGGGGCCCCGGGGAGGAGTAGCAAGAGAGCGCAGAGTGGTCACCAGGACATCGTACGGGACCTTGTAAGCCCAGGTGAGGCCTGTGGGCCTGCCCCCGACGTCCTTGCGCAGCACCCGGGGGGATGTTCAGAGAGGGAACATACTCCTCCGTGTACTTTAGGATTGCTCCAGCAGCAGAGATCAGTTGGAGGAAAGCAAGAGCCTGGCAGAGAGGTAGGAGGCTGTTCTAATCCTGATGAGAAAGGAGGAAAGCTTGAAGGAAGGCAGTTGTACTTGGTGGCACCAAGGGGATGGATCTCTGAGCGCTTCACCAGGCGAGGCGGAAGTCTGCAGGACTTCTCGGCAGGAATAGGAAACCTATTCGTTTTCAGAAACAACCCATGTGTGGTATTCATGTGCTAACTCGGCTGATGAATACACCATTCTTGTAACTAGGTTGGAGAAGAATTACATGAAGGGTATCATTAAGATGTTAAAACGAACGCATTACATATGTTAACAAGTGTATGAACCCTGTATTATATCTGGCAAACGGGGTGTTAAATCCTTGTTCAACCAGCCAGATGTCCCTGCAGCTGCTGCTGGTACTGCAGAGGGAGGCAGCCACCTGAGACCCCAGCTTCGAGCTGGGCCGTACAAATTGCTTCTTCTGTGCTCTGACTGACAGGCACCACACGGATCACACAATTCACAGCACAATGCACAGGTGGGATTTTTCAGTCCGAGAAGCCCAGCCTCCAGCAACTTGACCTTTTCGGGGAATCGTTAAAGCTAGGAATGTCCTCCGGTGGGAGCTGAAATCTACTTGTATCATTTTGTAAGATAATAAAACACTGCAATCAAGCAAATAAGACCAACTTGATAACATTCACTGTCGGATTGGAATGTTCTCAAAGTCTTGTTTGGGGCAGTCGTCCGAGTTTTCAAAGGCGTGCTGAACATTTGCTGTAAATGTTTAAATTACCTGGAGCAAAATCCTCCTAACTACCCAAAGGAGTTGAAAATACTCATAGGTATTTGTATTTATTCTTATGGAGTGTAATCTCTCCTAAGTGGCTTTGACTGTCAAGATCGAGCCAGTTCTGGGATGTCTCCCACCTCCCCAGGTTTGGGGACGTATTCTAAAATACGTTAGAAGATGTCTGAAAGAGCCTGTTGCATCAGATTGAAGACACGGTCCGTACTCTTCAAATTTACCCTGCCACACTCTGGGTTGGGTGCTTCTTGGCTCTTGAGCTGGGGAGAAGCTGAAAAGAAGCAATCCCAGAGACCACAGTTACACAATCACATCAATCCTTTGTGCGCTTTCTTTCCTGGAGGAGAAATTGTGAAATCACAACATTTCTCTATGAGTGAAATAAAAGTCGAAATTAAAAAAAAAAATTTTTTTTTATCGGTTGTTTTCCTGTCTGTTCAGACGTACTCCGACAGCAAAGATGAAACTGAGTTTTGCAGTCTAAATAGGAAAATACCACAATGAGAAGATTAAAACATGTTGTGAAATCTCCTCATCTCTATTGTTTTTAGACTTTGGAGCGGGGGCGACAGCAATTTCAAATCTGCAGAGCCTGGCTGCGGCATCCCAGGCTTGTCAATGAGGGACGGCGGCCGCTAGGTGGCAGTATGTCAGAGGCTTTCTTTAGTCCCTGACTTGGCTGCAATTTCTTTGGCTGCCTACCAGCAGTCCTGCTTTCCTTCTTGTCCTGTTTTGAAGGGTTAAATGAAGCTATCATAATTTAGGTCCAAATTACGCTTATCTAAAAATGCATAATTTTGCTGGAAAGCCTACTTGTTACAGCGTGACCTTAAAATAAATTCATTCATTCATGTGAGTTTTCTTGGTAGCTTATAGGTAATGATCCTAGTTGTCATGGATGGTTGATAGAAACCACGGGGCCATTCTTTCTGTCCCTGGCACGTAATAGATGCTAAACACGCTGTCTTCTGAGAAGGCAGATCGCTGGTCTTCCTGGGGGAGCAGACGGTGGCTTCTCTCTTGTGGCTCTTAGCAAAGACCTGAGACCTTAGGAGGACCCTCTGCCTGACTTCCTCACCTTGGAAACTTCCTGCTTCCTGCTGGGAGGTATGTCAACTACCTGTACTTCTTTATGGTCCACTATGCACTGGATGTTTATCCAGAGAGTGCGTTTTGTTTTTTTTTTTTTTAACTTACAGCTGGCTTTAAAGTAGGATAAATCACACACAACTTTCTAAAAAAGATCTCTTTCATCTGAATAATTTGTTCAGAGGGAAGGAGATGGGATATCCTTTGTACTGTTTTCCCCGGATTAAATGATCAGAACTTTTTGAATTCAAAGAAACCAGAAGCGATGTCTGAGTGATAAGGTTTGGGAATAAAGAACTGCACGTTTTAAGATACTCTAGTGCAACAGCAGTAGAGGACGAAAGTGGGTGAAAATAAATGTAAATGCACTGCTTAGACAACAAATGGAATTGTCAGTTGGGCTGGAGTACCAGTGCTCCTTTAGAAGGTTTCCTGTAATCTTGAAAATTAAAAATATCAGGGGGCATTCAAGAAAGGTCCGTGGTCGGTATATACGTAGCAAAGTATCCGATCCTTGAGAAAACTGACAAAGCCGAGTGGCTCCTGCTGTGTGGAGTGGGCTTGACAGTGTTCCATCCGGAGACACGGTGCCCCTCATGCCCAAGGTCTGCAGGCTGTAGTTTGGGCGGTTGACCAGCCAAGCCCTGAACATGGCTCAGCCCGGTCTGAGACAGTGATTTTCTGAAGACCCTGGGAATTCCAAGACCATATTTCCTGATGTCAAGACTCCTTTTTGGGGACGCCTGGGTGGCTCAGTCGGTTATAAGCCTCTGACTCTTGATTTCAGCTCAGGTCATGATCTGGTTCGTGAGTTCGAGCCCCATGTCAGGCTCAGCACTGTGTGGGATTCTCTCTCTCCATCTCTCTCTCTCTCTCTCTCAACAATAAATAAATAAAAACTTGAAAACAAAGGCAGCTTTCTGTCAGGTTTTCCAGGTTGCTGGCAGGTACTAGGCACCAGATCCCCAGGGAAGGGAAACCTCCTTTTAGAATTTCTACTTCAGGGAGGAAAACACCCTCTAAGGATTTCTTGACAGGTGTAGTCAGTCCCTCTATCCACTTAGGTTCTCCAGTTGGGACTTCATAAATTAGACTGATGAAAGAAAGATTAATAAGAGAAGAGCATACACATTTATTGAATATAGACTTCATAAAGAAATGGAGACCTGAAGAAATGGTTAACCTGATTTTTAAAAATTTTTTTTAATGTATATTTATTTTTGAGAGAGAGAGACAGCGCATAAGCAGGGGAGGGGCAGAAAGAGAGGGAGACACAGAATCAGAAGCACGCTCCAGGTTCTGAGCTGTCAGCATAGACCCTGACACGGGGCTCGAACTCACAGAGGGCAAGATCATGACCTGAGCCGAAGTCGGACGCTCAACCGACTGAGCTACCCAGGCGCCCCTAACCTGATTGGTTTTTATACCAGGTTTGGTGAAGTGGGAAAATGTGATAGGGCAAAGGGTCTGAGCTAAGTAAACTGAGGAGGCCCATTCCCTCAGATTCTTCTTGGCGTCCTTCCATCTTGGAGATAAGGATGCTCCTTTCCGCCAGTTATGAGGACAGCACTCTCTCATGACGGTCTTATGACCTGCTTCAGAGAAGAAGGACAAGGTCAGGGAGTCCTTACTGCACCTGCCATTTCTCAAATTCCTTCAGCTAAAAATATTCACTATGCCAAGACATTATATCTTGGGGTAGCAGGTTCTGAACCTCATCACGAGCCCACGAAACTTTTCTGCCAGCTTTCAGGTGTGTATTTGAGGATTCCATCTTGTAAAAGGAGGTGGGCATAGAGCTCTAAAAGAGAAGTCAGAAGGCAGAGGTTCTAGTCCCAGCCTTAATTAGGGCAGTCCTTATTCTCTTTCAGCCTCCATTTCCCAGTCTGAAAAATCAGGTTAGTGATAATTACCCAGCCTCTGATTCTAATAAGAATCAAATACGACAATACAAGGGAAACTACTTTGTTGGCTACAAATGTAAGGGGTAATTTAATTTTCAGTATGAATATGCAGGATATATGTAAGTTGTGAGAATATAATTAATCTGTGACCAGAGAAGATGTCACCAAACAACCATTCACGGGAGCACTTAATTAGTAATAATGTTTGTCAGTGCCTGCCCTATGTTAGAATCACCTGGAGGGGCCCCTGGGTGGCTCAGTTGGTTTAGTGTCGGACTTCAGCTCAGGTCATGATCTTGCGGTTGGTGAGTTCGAGCCCCCGTCAGCTCAGAGCCTGCTTTGGATCTTCCGTCCCCCTCTGTTTGCCCCTCCCCTGCTTGCACTCGCTCAAAAATAAATAAACATGAAAAAACTCACTTAGATTCTTTTAAAAAATACCAAGTCAGTATCAGACTAGTTACATTAG